CTTCGGAAGCGAGAAACGCTTCGGAATAGCGAAGATGCACGAGGAGCCCCATCCGTGCCCGCCCACTTGTGCGCGCCCATCCAATCACCGTTCCGGAAAGCCGGCCTGTGGAAACTCTCTCCGAATCTCCGGAACGGGGATTGTCGGGGTTTTCGCGCATTCTCGACTTCATATTCGGTATATATCAGGGACATGAGGAGGCCCTGAAACGACAAAAACGTGGAAGTCGAAAATCTAGGTGAACGGTGCCTTTAAAGGCACCGTCCACCCAAATTTTCGACTTCCATGTTTTTGTCGCTTCCGGGCCTTCTGAAGGCCCTGATTTCGAATATGAAGTCGAGAATCCCAAAAACTCCTATTTTGGGGAAAGCGGGACGGGTGGAAGTGCAGTTTGCAGGGCTGCGGCGCGGTTATCGCCCGGCGTATATCAGCGCCGCAGCCCCCAAAGCTGCAAAACGGGCGGAGTGACCACCTCTGGATCACGTATCACGTAACTTCCAGAGCGGATTTCTCGCTCCGGAAACAATCTTTTGCGGGGAAACTTGGGGGTTGGCCTAGTGTGGGGGCCCACATTAGCATGCCATTGAATCTCGTGAACCCTCACTTTGGGTGGACGGTGCCTTTAAGGGAAAAGGTAAGGAAAGGTCGTTTCATGACGATGACGTCATTAAGCAGAAATCTTATATATAAAGCTGAATGTCTGTCTGTATGTATGTCTGTCTGTCTGTACGTATGTGCGGAATAGAAATTTTTATTTCTGAACCGATCGGGACCAAACTTGGCACACATATACTTCGGGGCAGGGAGCGTGTCATAGTCTACTTTTCGTTATCGATCGATGTCGATTTTACCGATTTTTTGCAAAATTTGAGCTAGGGGGCTAGGATTTTGCACGGGGGGGGGTAATCGAGCATGCTGATCAACCCCTCCGGGGTGATCAGCATGCTCGATTACCCCCCTGTGCCAACTGCCAGCCCCGTAGCTCAAATTTTGCAAAAAATCGATAAAATCGATATCGATCGATGACGAAAAGTAGCCTATAACACCCGCCGGGGCCCGAACTGTATGTGTGCCAAGTTTGGTCCCGATCGGTTCAGAAATGGAATTTTCTATTCGGAACATACGTACAGACAGACAGACATACACACAGACATACAGACATACAAACAGACATTCAGCTTTATATATAAGATTACCTATACGTTCACAAAGAAATTTGACTAGTAGGTTTACTCAGACTTCGACTTTACACGTATTTATTTTTTGAGCTGCTCCATTTCCTTGTTGTACGTCCCATCATTACAGTCGATCTTTTTTCGAGAGTGTAGGTAAAACTAACTAAGCCTTCATTTACAAGATGCAAAAAAGTAGATTACGAATTGCTCCACGCCGATATATGAGGCTGCAAAGAAATTTACTCTAAATTGATTTTTTGAAATGACTTTTGTATAAGTAAATGACTTTCCAATGGAAACATATAGGGGGTTTCTCCTTTTCAAAACTTTCATGATATGTAGTATACGGGGGATTGATGCTCCCTGGCTGCTGCGAGAGGGAAGCCTGCTCAATTGGACGTGCTCTTCGCCGCCCACCTCAATGGCTTGGAAGGTACGAAGTGGTGAGCACGCTGAACTGAGCAGGTTCACCCCGTCCAGGGACAAAGGCATGTTGCTCCCACATATTGTATCAATCGATGGTTCCTGATTAGGAGAATTCAATTATACCCTTTCCTTGGAATTTTATCTACTTGTACAAAAGGTACATTTAGGAAATCTTATATATAAAGCTGAATGTTTGTCTGATGTCTGTCTGATGTCTGTCTGTATGTCTGTACGTATGTGCGGAATAGAAATTTTTATTTCTGAACCGATTTGGACCAAACTTGGCACACATATACTTCGGGGCAGGGAGCGTGTCATAGGCTACTTTTCGTTATCGATCGATATCGATTTCATCGATTTTTTTGCAAAATTTGAGCTACGGGGCTGGGAGTTGGCACAGGGGGGTAATCGAGCATGCTGATTACGAATATAATAATGACAGGGCCGGGCGGAGCCGGGTTTGCCAGCTAGTTGACTCTAAGTGGGTCTTTTTGCAGCTTCGCATCTCGACGATGGAAGCATCTCATGTTTTTTGGATTTTGTAGAGAAAGTACTAATTTTACTTATACGCTCGCAAAGGAATCTGCTTTGAGTAACTCCGACTATACTGAGGGAAAATCTCATCCTGCTTAATTTGCCTACAATATCGTTTTTTTCGCTTCACTGCTCTAAGAATTTTTCCTAACATAAGATATGCTGATCTATGCTCAGATTTATTGATTTCTGTCACTATTAGGCTCTAATTATTAACTCTGCTTGAAGTGGAAACTATTGGACAATAATTTCATGACTCTCGATTGATCTTCTAAATCTGGGAGTCCTGAGTAAAATTGCCTATCAGTGCCGCGACGTTGGAGATATAGGCCATATCATCCATCATCGGTCGCGAGGAACCACGGTATGAGTGTCCGCGCGCGCGCCGCATACGTAGGAATTTGGTACTCGAGAGCAAAATTGGCCTGCACTCAGATTTGGACGGATCAACTGACTTTGCTTATTTTGATGTTTCTTGGTCTATCTCTGTTTTACATTCCTACATAAGTTTTCGTTGGTGCGTGCTTCAAAATAGCATAGCATGGACAATAACCCAAGAAGTTTCTTTGCGATCATGGTCAATACTCTAAGGTATTTTTGTATTTCTAAATAATCTCACTTCAAAATCATTAAGGAACCATTCAAAAACTCACTCTAAGGCTAGGCCCCTTTAAAACGCATGGCACACTTTGATTTACGTGCTTGAACTTTTGTTGCTGGCATCCGAACTGGCCAATTCACGCGGAATGAGGAGATGCGCATGTTTTGATCTGTTTTCATGAGTGAGCATTACGTTTTCCAGTCTTCCAATAGTTCAAGAGTGAATGATAACATTTCTCAACGAGTTTTCTGGTTTGGTGCTCCTTCGAACGACGCCTCACCATCCAAAATGAGCCTTAGTTGACGCGAGCACGCGGAAGGACAGAAAAGGCAAGGGGCAAAGCTAAAACGAAGAGAAAACAGAATGAAGGGGCGACTGCGCATGCTTTGGTGGGATCGGTCACGCTCAAGTACTAATTTCCTACGCATGCGACGCGCGCGCGCAGCCTCATCCCTTGGATCCTCGCGATCCATGGTGGGGGGTAGGGGACTATATGTCGCTGAAAAAGGGCGGTCCCCTCGGTCATTTGCGACAAATACGCGCCCTTGTATACGCGCGGACATGCGTTCCTGCAGGAAATCCGCGCGGGACTCTTCCAATCCCGGCGACATATAGTCCTCCACCCGATGTTGGGTGATACAGCCTATATCTGCAAATGTGTATTGCCCACGCACTTCATAATTTCTACGACATTCCACCTTCGATGAATCCTCAAAAAAAATTTCTTCACCATCTATTGTCGACTTCCCAATGGCGAGGCGGGATCGTGATCTTCACCAAAGATCGATGGATCAGGCATGCATCAGCACCGGGCAACCGCAACGCAAGGCACGCTAGCGCAGCTCTACCTCGCCAAAATTGTGGAGCCGCTCATACAGTGGCGTAGATTTTCCGCTTAATATAGTGCGCTTGCACTGTAGGTGAAATGCGCTTAAAAATTTGCGCGTAAAAAATTAGCCACTCTAGAATGCCGACATTCTGCGCGCGCAGCTCGAAGGCGTCACAGGCATGGCTGTTTTTTCACTCGCAAATTCTAGCGCATTTCACCAACAGTGAAGCACACTATGTTAAGCCACTATGTTAAGCGGAAAATCTACTCGATGTATCTCCATAATCTCGCGTATTCTCTTAGGTCTCAAATTATTTGCTGTATCCCACTCAGACAATCGTCGGGACAGGCGGGCGCCGAAAAATACGCGTTGCTGACATTTCGCATTCCGCTCGCAAATTCCAGGAAAATGTTCAGCGAGTCGCCTGTTGAATCTTTTTTCCCTTTCACTTTTGCAGATACAGGGTGTCCCAAAAAAATGTGAACACTCTTTGATCGTTAATAACTCCGTTGCTTTCGTGTCTTTCGCCGAGCTTGAGGCACCGTTCTGTAGGGCGAGGTCTAACTTAGATTTGTAGTATGGAGCGAATCACCTATCGTTGTTCGTTACTGTAGGATTACGGTATGAATTTCTAGCATGTGGATCCATTGTGAAATAAGCCATTTGACAAAAATTCTTTCAAAAAGTCTGGAAAATCGTGTACTAGGGTTTTCGCACAAGCTATTCCACTACAGAAGTTTTTACGAGTGTTTTCAGCTTTTTTGACGGTGTAATCGCATTTCTGACAAATTCTGAAGATCCGGTTACCACGGTTTTCCCGAAGTAACCTTGAAAAGAAGCATCGCAGTAAAGTGGAAATTTCATATTCGAAATCAGCGGCTTCCATTATCGTAGTGTAAGAGTTTTTGGCTTGTTTTTTTTGTTCGGAAGCACCATATGGCCTCTAACGGCCTAAAATCCTTGTCGAAGTTCTTACCGTAATCCTACAGTAATGAAGAGCGATCGACAATTCGCTCCATATGTAATCTAAGCTAAACCTTGCTCTATAGAATGGTGCATCAATCTCGGCGAAGGACATAGAAGCAAGGGAGTTATTGATGATCAAACAGTGTTCACATTTTTTCGGGACACCCTGTATATTGCTGAATCTCTGAAGAATTGATTACTCAGCAAACCGCCCCGAAAAGTTTTGATTGGTTTCCGAAAATTCCTCTAGCAGGGTGCGAGAAATCAGCCATCTGTTTTTCCGGTGCCCGCCTGCCCCTGGCGATTGTCTGAACAGGTGGAGAGGGGGGGGGGGGAGGCTTCAAAGTGAGGGAAAGTGAGCTTCTGCTCCCCTTCATCGCGCCTATGACTCCAACAAAATCGCAGAAATCTTCTCTACATCAGAGATCTTGAAGCTGCGACTGGTACGCCAATTGCGCATAATAGTAAGCTTATAACTCTCTTCAAAATAATGCCTTGCGGCTGGGAACACATTTTTGGGATCGGCGTTTCAAGCGATTCTTGATGTGTACGTTTCTTTTTGGAAGGGGAGAGCTAGATGCCTTCCGTTGTCGGATGTACGGTACCGCTAGTCGATGTAATCCGCTACTTCGTGGTAAAGCATGTTGAAGTCTATATTTAGAATCGATATTAAGTAGAGCTCAGATATCTTCGTTGCGCATATGCGGTAGCCGTTGTTTATCGCACCGATCTAATCTATATTTCCATCCACTTCCTTCCACCATGTTCATTATTGGAATTTTGGTAAGTTTACTTAGCGATTAGAAGAAACCTACTATTTGTTATTGAATTTTCTCACACAATATGTCCTCAAATACATCCTTTACTTCTTTGCCAAGCTTTCGCAGTATTGCGTCCATGTCACCGTGCTCTGTCTGAAGGACATGCCATGATTTCTCATTTTGACCAACTTAAGGATATGTAAAATAACCTCTGATTCTTAGTATAAACATAGCACACGTAAAATGATGCTCAAATTGTTCTAAAGTTGTTTACATATCTCCCTCTCTCCCTAGTTTTCTTTCTCAAAGATAAGCAGGTTACGTGAGTTAGATATCATTTTCATGACTAAGCGAAATGGATTCGCACATGTTAGTTCACAAATGAGGTACATGTGGTCTCATACCCTAAAAAACTTGCGAAGAAAGACAGAATCTGACAGAATCTTCACTTTCAAGCTCCAGGATAACTTGCACAAACGAGAGATTTGAAATACATTGCATGCATCGATTTTTTCTCGCAAAAATGGTTTTTTTTTGCGAGAAATAACATGATATGGGATCAAGGGCGGGTGGGCTGACATGGAAGCGAAGCCGTAATTTTCCTGTTTTTTTTTTCGCATAATTTTTAGCAGAGATCTTTGTTTGAAGTTATTTTTTACGAAGCATGAGTACCAGTACTGAAGCCAAACCAACCTTTGCCCCGAGTTGTAGTTCAAAAAGTTTTTGATGCCATGTCCATCTGGAAATTTGGAGTTACAAGCCTGCCCCCTCGTTTACTAAAAGGCGGATATATAATTTCATAGTCTTTTACGTTGATTCTACAGACACCAAAGATGTTAAATCATCCTTTTCTGCATCTAGTAGAACCCCTTACATATGACATGTGGAATTTGAGGGAGCTTACAAAGAAAAGTTCTTACAATTAGTCATCAAAGGAGCATCCAGAAATCAAATTGGTCAAACATGAAATTTTAACGACTGTTTTTCAAAGAAAACTGCTGCTCAAGGAGGAAGTATCTAGAATTTTCATTCCAGATTTTAATGTCTACCTCAAGTGCGGAGAGTCCGCTGGATTTTGCGAAGCCATCACGTGATGGAAATCGCTTTGCCAATCCTCCATCCTTCAAAAATTGGACTGGCGTCCCCACTTTTTGGAATATAATCAAATGGAGAGTTTCGGAAACAGACCACTCCAATATACCCGACGAAAAGAAAGTGAGGCTTATATGCGAAATTCGAGTGAACCTATAAAATACAGAGACTCTATTGGTTGACGATTTCAGATATTGGATGAAACTATCCCTGTGCACAGTATAACCGAGTTCGAGTCGAAAAACAAATCGAGCATGTTTGCTACATGGCTGGGACATGCTACAGTTCTTGTGGACATGGAAGGAATACGGTACTTTTTGTAGGAACCGTAAAATATGGAAATGATAAAAAAATAGTTGGGAGATATCTGCATCACTAACGCGCAGTTGCTTTTGCATTAAGGTCCGAAAGCATGAGTTCCGCGTCTTTTTTGAGTTTTTGCGTTTATATCACTTAAGGGACACTTGCCAGAGCGCAGATCTTGCTTCACATGTTCTAAGGTGAAAAGTCGTTTTTATCCTATTTTTGTTGTGTATGCTGAATGGGTGTGACACGAGCGGCATGAAAGGCACCGTCCACCTATAGGCTGTTGCATGACGAAAGCACAATATCTTTGGGTGCGTACGCGGCTTTTTTAGCCGCAGACGCATGAGACGCAGAATTCAAACGATGAAGATACGCGCGCGTCGCATTGCGCCCGCTCAGCTGGAACCGCCTTTGCGCCTTCGTCATGCAGTAGCCTTTAGGTTGAGGGTGGTGAGATTTTGATACGGTATACATAATAGCGGCGCCCTTAACTAACAAGGAAAGCATTTACAGTCGAAGTGGCCTCCCCAATCGAGTCCTATACCATTTTGTAGAGCATTGAACGATGATGCTAAATCCGTCTTCATTATTTGCCAAACGCCTCTGAAAGCCGAGTTATGAGCGTTTATTGAGTCGAATTGAACGCGCAACTGAGACAAAGTTCACAATTGCTCAAAAGGTCAAGTGATAAACATCAGAGCACTTCTTCCAATGAATAACTTTTTTCATTACTCTCACACTCAACATTGCTCTATTTGCTAGCAGAAAAGATTGTGACTGTAGTTATTTATTTATTTACTTATTTATTTATTTATCTAATACGCTCTTGACGTTCTATACAAAATAAAAGAACAAAACACCAGAATTTATATTCTATCCACGATAGTTCATCATGTAGTTTGGGTCTAACCTTACAGACTGGATCAAAAATGTGTTTAAAGCTTGTATGTGACTGCTCTATAATTATGTATAGTTTAACAAAATTCAGTTGGTGTGATTCATGGAAATGGTACCCATGCCCCCTTTTTTGCCAGCAAAACGCTTTGCTTCTAGCAAGCAAACGGTTTGATAGTATATATACCGTCTAATTACCGAACCAATGTGCCAACGAGAGTGCAATGACTCCAAAGGAGTAGCTGTGAAGATTGTAATGAGTGGATCACTCATATATAAGTGGGAAGATCATATTAAACTACTGTAATCTATAAGTGATAATCATACCAACTCGTTTGCCAGCAAAAGAGGTTCTTAAAAAATAAGCACAGCGGGGCTCGGTTGGTGGAATAGTACTAAAGAACCTTCAAATAATTCCAGAAGAGTCCAAACTCCGGGAGGATATCAATAATATCAATTTTTACATAGATTTGCGTTCATTCTTCGCTGCAAAATACACTCGTAACTCGGCGTCTAGAAGCGTTTGGCAAATGATAAAAACATTTTTGAAATCAGCGTTCAATGCTCTTCAAAGTGGTATAGAACTCAACTGGAAAGGTCACATCAACTAAACACGCTTTCTTTGTAAGTAAACGCCCTAATATCCCTGCAGTAGACAAATTCTTAGGCGTGAAAATCGCGCTAGAAGGAAGCGGAGGCGGTCCCTCCGTCCATCAGCGTGGGTAGTCCGGAGATACATCCAAAAATGGGCAACGTCTAAGGGCCGCATGCACTAACCTCCCCGCTGGGGAGGGGATCGCAGCCTAAAAGAAAGCTTTGTATTTCGAAACTCCAGATACTTGGATTTCACGTTGTGTACCTATCCGTAAATATTCCTACTACCCTTCACTATGAACATGTTGAATAGGAGGGAGAAGCTGTACGAACCGCATTTTTCAGCTTTTGTATGATCCCTGATGATCCCCGGCGCTTTTCTTGAAAGTCATTTTTCTTTCTCCGAAGTTAACGAAAATATTCCAAAGTTGTACCGAACATTTAACACAACACTGCTAAGCATGTTGCTGATGAGAACAAATGAGTTTTGAAAAGTCGAATTTTTCGGTAAACCTCAAATTTCAACCTGCGGATCATCGAAAATTTCATGGCTTCAAAATATCATTTGTTTCTATCAGCAACTTGCTTAGCACTGTCGGTTTAGATAATCTGCACAACTTTGGAGGTTTTTCGTTAACTTCGGAGAAAGAAAAATGACTTTAAAGAAAAGCGCCGGGGACCATTAGGGATCATACTAAAGCTGGAAAATGCGGTTCGCACAGCTTCTCGCTCCTCTTCAACATGTTCATAGTGAAGGGTAGTAGGAATACTTACGGATAGGTACACAATGTGAAATCCAGGTATCTGGAGTTTCGAAATATAAAGCTTTCTTTTAAGCTGCGATCCCCTCCCCGCGGGGATTTTAGTGCATGCGGCCCTAAGTGGAAAGTCTGATTAAGAACATATTTTCAACAATTCTGAACACATTCAAACCCAATTTTGGACTTGTATCTCTGGACCAGGTGATGAGCGGGGTGAAGATTTTCGTTTCTACCTTCTGTAGCAATTTTCTCGCTTCCGACTTCCCTTTTGCAGCGCTTGGGCGATCACTTAATTAAAGGCACCGCCTCCCAAAGCGGCGGTTGACGAGATTATGTTGATATACTAGTTCGGCCCCCACACTAGGCAAATCCCCAGGTTGCGCCGCGAAAGATTTCCGGAGCGAGAAATCCGCTCCGGAACGAGCAAATCTGGAGCTAGTCACTCCACCCAGCTGGTCGCCCCGCCCACTTCGCAGGCTTTTTCTCGCCTGCGCTTGCTGCAGCGGTTTCCAAAACGGGAGTTTTTAGGGTTTCGCGGATTCTTGACTCCATTCGAAATCAGGGTTTTCGGAAGGCCTGAAGGCGGCAAAAACATGGAAATCGAGAGCTTGGGTAGACGGTGCCTTTGCGGGAGGCTCTAATTTACTACCAAAATCTCATTACCTTCGAAAGGCGGAATGCGCTCAGGGATTCTACTTAAAGGCACCGTCCACCCAGATTCTCGACTTCCAGGTTTTTGTCGTTTCAAGGCCTTCTCATGTCCTTGATTCCAAATATGAAGTCGAGAATCCGCGAAAACCCCGACAATCCCCATTCCGGAGAACTCATTGGCCGGCTTCACAAAACGGTGATTGGATGAGCGCGCACAAATGGGCGGGCATGGATGGGGAGGGGCGGGCATGGATGGGGGTCCTCGTGCACATTCACTATTCCGAGGCGATTTTCTCGCTTCTGAAGCGACATTTTGAGAAGCGACTTGGGCATTGGCTTGATAGGAGGCCCTACTGTTATATGCCCCCAAAAGCTCTACACCCTCAGCTTAGGGTGGACGGTGCCTTTAAAGTCAAAATTCATGCGACACCGCAGTTGATCGGTGACTGGTTTAGGTAGCATTTCTAGCATCCTAAAACAACATGTGAGCAAGCTTCCGAGTTTCTAGCAGCCTTAAAGCAAAATTTCCTCAGCATATCCGGAAAGATCATAAACGCAGTGTTGATGTTTTGGCAGCGTTCTCAACGGCACTCGGCACTCACAGGGATCAGTCAGGATTTGAGTCCAAACTGCTTTGTTTGTCGGTCTCTCACAAACTATTTACCAAATTCAGATTTATCACTGACCCAGTTTGGTCTAAACGAGCGTCGTTTTTCCAGTGGTTCGGGCCTAAACGCTATCGTCCACCTCCAATGAAAATTGAAAACCTACCCAAGGTAAGAGTATCAAAATTGGCAAATGTCCGATCGTCGATAACGAAACTTTAGTTGCATTTCGGAGTCATCTCTCACGATCACTACGATCATCTCGACTCCGACGCTGTCGTGAGAATTAATGAGTGAGTCTGGATTGGGGAACTGCTGCATAGATTGAAGCATGAACTTTTCAGACTGAATCCATCTATGCGATGGTTTGTACCTCTTGGTATGCAGGAATGGATGGAATCAATTGGCATTCAAAACTCACCTCTGAATCCAAAAAAGGTTACAGAATTGGAATGGTAAATTTTCAGGCGACACAGAGAATCAATCTCACTATTCTTCTTAGGGGTGAAAATGAGTCATTCCACACTGAAGGTAAAGATGTGACCGTATGGTGCGTGCCTGCTCAGCATTGGGGACAAAGAGGTGTTTTCGACAGAAATAAGGTCGGTATCTTGTTGTTTACCAGAAGGGCATCAACTTACGCGCATTTTTAGAAGAAAGTGTTAAAAACTCAGTCATGTTCTATATGGTAGCAAAAAACGTACCGGTCATAAGAATTTTTGCGTTGAGCTGGAAGAAAGATGGTTTTGTAGAGTCGCATCTGGGTAACACTACTTATTCATTGAAGACCTGTGAGCACGGGGCTAGCGTGATTTTGTTGCAGTATTTGTTGACTGTCAAACCATTCTTGATTAGAGCACTGTTTTGTACTCGACCTATGGCCAGGAGTCAGTACCCTACAACAGACACAAAAAAATATTGACATTTGCGAGGGGCACTAGAAGACATCAAAATAACTTTGTTCAAGGCATTGATGGTGTTTGAATGTTTTCAAGCGAGTCTAGAGAGTGGGAAGCAGTGGTGTTTGCGTTGGGGGGGGGGGGGGGGGGGGGAGAAAGCAAAAAAAATTCAAATGGAGGTGCGTGACGTCAGCCACGCATTCCGAAAAAAATTTTGGTACGCTTTCTGAAATTTTTGTGGGTCCGTAACCCCAGAATTTCAGAAAAAGGGGTCGAGAAAATTTTTATAGAACTAAATTGAATTCCTAAAATTTTTTGAAAATTATATTGATTATTACAAGTATAAACAAGTCGCTTGTCATTTTCATAACTCATATAAGTAACTTCCCAAATTTTCGCGACCCATCTCGGGGAAGGAGGCCTTCCTCGCCTCTCCCCTTCGGTAGGCCTCCGTGGGAAGCGATACCACATTTGCCTAGAAATCTAAACTGTAATAAAAACTACCATGTCCCTTAATAAACAAACTATAGAAAATCGCAAGAAAGTGTGTTCTTTCTTTGTTCATTTTCTTTTTCACGCAGAAAAAGATGGAACTGGAGTATTAAGCGGATAGCCTTAGCATTCATAAGTAATAAAGGATTGCGATAGATACAAGTTTTCTTTCAAGATATCTAATGTACGCAAAGGCATGCAGAAAAATTGTTCATCATGTGGTTCCTCCATTTGAAGCGTTTTTTGTGAGCTAATGTTAGGAATTGCAGATAATTCCTCATAGAGTGTGTTGAACCAAAAGTCATGTAATCGTTTTTCGAGAAAAAAAATACGCTCGCTATCCTCCCCCTTCTCATCCCATGTTCATAACAAGATTTGCTTTTCGGATATTGAATTGATCTTTTCAAAAAGTCCCGTACACATAACAGTACAAAAGAGAAAAAACACCCAATACTCTCGATCATTCCGGTTGCTCTTTCGGGACCAAGTAAATTAACTCCATAGGGACATTATGTTCAACTTCCTGCGGAGAACGTAAATAAAACACTGAGATAAATCATAAGTACGTAGGACTTATTAGTGATAGAAACAAAGACGAAACAAAGACTCCTACATTTTTGAAGTGTTACTTCTAGTAGGCACACATATTGAGTCAGTAAAGTGCTTTAAGGTGACTTAATGTGTATGTGCAAAATCAAAACAGTTACCCCTGCCTTACCTTACAACGGAAGGATACTTAGTGACCATAGCTTTTGAAGTGCAACGTACACCACTGAATGCACCTTGAAGCGGATTCCAAATCTGCCTTCATTATCTGCTGTGCGCTCTTCCGACAGATATGAACATTTTTGCCACCAAAAACAATGTTTCAATAAGGGATTAACCGATATCGTTGGAATGGTCACTTATGCACTACAAAAGTGTCCAAAAAATAAAGCTTTACGTTGAGCACGAAAATTGTCTCCGTTTTGTCCGATTCTAAAAAGCCTGGATACCGACGATTCCGACTCGTAGACTCGTATTGATATAGGAAAAGTCTATGGCTTTGTTCAAGGAGTCGCACAGCAGATACTGTACATAGATATTTAATCAGCGTTTTAAGGCGCATCTACTGATATACATCTCATTGCAGAAAGCCACTCACCAAGTGTCTTCCCTTGTTAGACCAAGTACAGTGGCGGCCCCAGGATTTCGGACCGGAGGGGCGGGGGGCGACAAAAAAATTTTTGCAAAGGTGCGTAGCGTTAGCCACGCACTTCGAAAAAATTTTAGGGGTGCTTCTCAAAATTTTTGCGGGTCCCCAACCCCTAAAATCCGGAAAAGGGGGCGTGGCGTCAGCCACGCCCTCGAAAAAAATTTTTTATAAGGCTAATTTGAATTTCTAAAAATATTTTAAGAATTATTTTAATTATTTACAAGTATAAGCAAGTCACTTGCACATTTTTATAACCCATATAAGTAACTTTCAAAAATTTCGCGACCCATTCTCGGGGAGGGAGAGGGGGGGAGCGCCCCCTCCCCGCCCATCCCCTCGGTCGGCCACTGACCAAATGCCCTACGGACATAATCAGGTCGGTGCAAAACTGTTGTCAGTTTTTCTTGAATTCACTCGCGAGTCCCTAAGAGCAAATACAAACACGTAAATACTGAGAGCAGACTTCGGTACAAAATTTCTTCCTCTGCACTTGGGTTGTCGATGCAGCTCTTTCTGAGGTATTATTTATCTCTTATCTTCTTCGTGCAGGATCTGTTTGGGAAACTTTTGCACCAACCTAATATAACTTGATCTAAACTAACCTGAACTAATTATGAACTTGAATCTCACAAGGGAAGGAAGGTTGGTCGAAGTGGCCTTTTGAAATGAGGTGTATACTGGCTTGTAGAGCTTGGAACGCTGATTCCAAATCTACCTTTGCTATCTGCTGCGGGCTTCTGGGCGACGAGTTATGAAGGTTTTTATGTGTAAAAATCTGAATGCAAAAATAGGGTAAAATCAATCGTAACCTTTTCCCAATGTCTAAATGAGGCAGCAGCGAATTGGTATACTTGGATCAAGAGTATTTGTTGCACCGAGTGACCCGACTACCAATTAAGCCCTATAAAAAATGTTACGACTGATTTTTAGCCTACTCTTGCATTCAGATTTTTACTCAAAAAATCTTCATAACTCGTCGCCCAGAAGCCCGCAGCAGATAGCGAAGGTAGATTTGGAATCAGCGTTCCGAGCTCTACAAAGCATCATACCTCCTATTTCAAAAGGCCACTTCGACCAACCTTCCTTTCCTTGTCAGATCAGTCTGGTTCAAACACAGAAGTGTAACTTTTCACTGATCGTTTTGTTTCTTCAAATGCTAGTGCTATCGAATTTATCCGCAAAACCTATCGGGAAATCCCCCTGAGAAGTGTTAAGAATCTATTCACGAGGATGACCTTCTCATTTTTTTGCTATTAGGACACAGCGACCACACGTGAGATGCACCTTTACTCTGCTTTCTACGGTGGTCATGTGGATGCAAATGTGTGAAATTGCTGACGAAAGTGGAAGATCTGTCTGAATTTACTGTATTCGTGTGGATAGCTACAAAGCATGCCACTCAATTTTCACAGTAAATAACGCAGTGATTCATAACCCGATGACAGTACAAGTTTGTGGATGAGACGGCATGTTTACTTTGCCGAAGTCTGCGCAAAACCTGTAGGGATCGTACGAACAACAGAGCTTCACATCATTGTCATGATAAACTGGGGAAGCTCTAACAGTGTTTTAGGCCCGTCTCCACGTACTTCCCCGCTGAGGTGAAGGGGGAGGGGGAGGGATTTGAGAGATGATATTCCGCTGTTCTAGATATCTTTATTCCTTCCTACTGTCTTGGTATGAAGGTTCTCAATCCTACATCCATTATACTTTAATATAATGTATGTCAGAACATCGCCCCATACAAGCAGAGATTTTCCGTGTTTTGTGTGATCCGCTGGGGATCAACCCTTGTCTTCAAAGTAGTCGTCTATTCTTCCAGGAAGTTGATGAGACGTCGTAAAGTTGTACTAGGATCTACTATGACACTGTCAGAGATCTTATCGGCAAAACAAATGGATTGTGCAAATTGTGAGTTTTCGATGAACCTCAACTCGCGAGCAGTTCATGAAGATATTAGGGTGAACGGTAAAAAATGGGACAGCTTAATTTTTATTACATTTTAAGATTTTCTGTCCTCACCAATAACAAGCAGGCTGCAACTCAAACGTCGCTTACATAACCGACCTTCGCCTATTATTCTGGCAACGCGTTACCGCTCCTCTCTCATAACCGTACGCGTGGCGTCGTAAAGAACTCCGACAAGGTTTTTTGAACAACTCTCACTCTTGCACTATTATACCGTAAAGTTGTAAAGCAAATGACATACCACTCGGAAGAGCTTTTCATGCTCTTTTAAAAGATATGTTAAATGCCTAAGATTGACTTTCAATTTCAGGAAAAAAAGGGAAAAAATCTGAAAAATAGCTATTTTTGGCACAATAAAAAACCAAAAAATTATGTTTTGCCCTATATTTTCCGAAAATAGATAAAATTTGAGGCGTGCTGCATATGGATGGACAGAGCGTAAAAAGCTCTATCAGATGGTACCTAGAAAACATCCGTTCACCTGGAAAGAATTGAATAACGCGTATCTTCGTTCTCGAAGCTGCTAGTGGCCATATCTCCTGATTTGGAAGTTGAGGCCACCAAGCCGCCGTGGGTTTGGTGACTGTCCCACCACTCACTCCAGCAGTGGTACTTTGGGCGGTCTCACATGTTTCACTGCGCAGATATGCTCAAAGTTCATAATTTGTCGAAGTGATTAACTTTGCATTTAAGCAAGTATAAAAATTATTAGTTATGTAAATGACCTTATATAGGTATTATCTGAAAGAGAATAACATATTCTAACATCTGCCAAAATTGGAATGTCTATTCATTTCTCTTTCTTGAGAAACCTCCAGTTATTTCGTAAGTGTCCCATTTTTTACCGTTCACCCTAATAGAATAAAATTTCGGTTCATCGAAAATATCGATATCCCGTGATTCTATTCCTGGAGATCACGCGAAACAGTGAAAATCTCAGCTTGTATGGCAATGATCTGCCATCCGTTATAATCAGATATCAGGGTATGTGAACCTTTATCATTTTCTATAATAAAGAATGGCAAGGTTTTGCACTTACATGTTGACAAGTTGCGGAATGAGGCGAGTGATTGCCGGGGGTGCGGAGGGTCCAGATTTGTCAACAAGGCTAGCGTGTTTTTGAAGAGGTAAGCATCGTCCCTCTTCGGGGAATGTTTTCAAAAGGGTGCGTTTACTAAGTGCAAAAAGGCTATAGTGTGGGGAGGTGCCGACACTCTCGTAAGGTTGCTAACAGTATCCCCCCCCCCCTCTTTCGCAAATTTGTACTCGGATGTATGACTTGGGAACTCGAGCTCAAAAAGCTGATCTCAGATATACCTTATATATCTGCGATGCATTGTTCTAAAAAAAGTTACGAGCTTTTCTAAAGCCAAACTTTCGTGCATTTTGAGTTGCAAAATCTAGATAATCTCTACACAAAGGTGTGCAAGCTTAAGCAAACCACTTAGTAAGCATTGTAGGTCTAATTCGAGTTCATCCGAACGTTTGCGAGTGTTTTCCGATCATGTTATTAATTTACAGGTCGCCATTTCCTTCCTAGATCACACTTCCATTATATATACAAAAACGCCCCATAACCTCCATCTAGAAAAACGCGTCGCGTCGGAAACTTTATGGAAACTACCAATGGGTAGAACGTAAAACGATGTTCTCAAAAATATCTTCAATATCTGCGACGCGTTCTTCTAGATGGAGGTTATGGGGTTTTTTGTATATATAATGGATGTGATCTAGGAAGGAAATGGCGACCTGTAAATTAACAACATGATCGGAAAACACTCGAAAACGTTCGGATGAACTCGAATTAGACCTACAATGCTTACTAAGTGGTTTGCTTAAGCTTGCACACCTTTGTATAGAGATTATCTAGATTTTGCAACTCAAAATGCACGAAAGTTTGGCTTCGACTAAGGGCCGCATGCACTAACATCCCTGCGGCGAAGGGAGCGGCGTCCCCAATGATGAAAAAGCCGCAGCGGCGTCCGCACGCGGTCCCTTCATAACGGGGGACGCCGCTCCCCTCGCCGCAAAAATGTTAGTGCATACGGGCCTAAGTGAACTTCCCTTGTCAGATGGTCTCCCCCTCCCCTCCTCTTCCTCCCCCCCCCCCCCGCCACCGCGAAAATGTAAATACTTGCATGTAGGCTTACGCAACAAATTCCAAAAAGATTTAAGCTACGACCTTGGGAAATTATGCAATCGATCTTGTACGTCGTTGAATGTGCTGCAATATCGAGTAGCTACTAACTTTTAATGTTCTAAGCTGGCCGTAAACAAGACCGCGATCTCATTTACATTTTACAACAAGGGAAGTTTGTAACCGAGAAGTAATTGATGTTGTTCTAGAGACTGTGGTCTGGATGGGCGGTGATGACACCAAACCGTCGTTTCTATTATACCGGCGACACAGGTTTCTGCGAAGATGAGTTCAGGAAGGTTGGAAAACACTTCGGCCCGTTTGATCTTGCAGCTATCCCCATCGGTGCATATGCTCCACGGTGAGTCATGGAAGGTGTCGGAGATTCATAATACGCAAGGACCGGGCGTAAACCAATATAGCTCGTGCTTGAAAGAGATCGCAGATGGTAAGAGACGCGAAAAGAGCGCTTGATCAGGGAGACGCCGACACATCGGCCGTCTTTTCGTGCAATGAATTAATTATAGTTCACCCCTGCACCTTCCACATTGACCTATTCTATTAAGGTGGTTTATGAGATCGCAGCACATCGATCCACACGAAGCTGTAGCCGTACACGAGCTTGTAAGATCCAAATTCTCATTGGGAATTCATTGGGGAACTTATCATATGGGTTCCTACGAAGTAGGTGGAGAAAAACATTTTTGCGGGTAATGACAAACGCTATTCGATTCAGTACTACCTCGAGCCCAAAAATGTACTCAAGGATATCATGAAAAACAGGACTGATCTCCCACCATTTCTGACTCTCGAAATGGGTCGAATATGGGAAGAAGGTGAAAGCGAGGAGGAAACCACGTCATCATGAACCGTTAAACGAAGATTATTATGTAATTTTCAAATAATTCGCTACGGCCATGGCTCCAAAAAATCATAACAGCAATAAAGATTTTATTTTTCTAATCGCGGTTTCTTCTCGATAGATTGATCTTCAGACTTGGATTGTGCTTCTCTTTCTTTCATCCTCATTTGTAAAAGCTCATAGTAAGTCGGTTTTCTTTCTGTCCGTTCAGGAGTTTCCTCCTTCACCCGTGGACCTTTATCATTGGGGATGGTCGCCTGAAAAAAATTAGATAGAAATCACATATTCTTCTTCCATTACTTAAAAGCAGTGTCCGGGCAAGAACTCGATTTTGAGATTTTGTGCAGGCGGAAAGTAGCAGGTGGGCGGGGTCTTACCCACTGTGAATTCACGCTTCCAGCTTCCAGAGCAGTTTTCTCGAATCCGTTAGCCGCCCTGACATCACTACCGATCAAGTGCAAACGAATGACTTGAAACCGGAATCAAAAAGATCGCCTCCGAAGCTGAGAGCGCGAATTCACAGTGGGGAAGACCCCGCCCACTTGCTGAATTCCCTCCAGTGTTAGAGCCCTTTTTCGTCGTTTTCGCGCTCTCTCATATGGATTTTCGGTTTCAGCATAGCGAATAGGCCCGGGTAAGCACAAAATCTCAAAATCGAGTTTTTGCCTGGACACTGCCTTTAAAGGGAGTGTCCAGGCAAACCTGGTTGCATGGCTCTTTCGTCTGGAAATTGATGAGGGGATCCTAAGGCACACTGCCCAAGGGGCAGCGCAACTCGTTCAATCAGAGCTTTCCGTCCCCAAACCCCGCGTGTGCGCCATGACCGTCCAAAAACGACTTCGCTCACTTTACTCACTTTAACACTACGTTCGCCATGGGACCAATCTTGAGTGCTAGGCGGCGCAGCCGCTGAGTGTTTGTGGATGGATTTCTCAGCCTTGAGTGGATTATTTGCGCTGAGGTTTGGGCAATGCCTTAGCTAGATCCTATCCTCCTCGACAGTTTCCAGGCAGAAAATCCATATGCCCAGATTTGCCTGGACACTGCCTTTAAGATTCCTCACCTCCTGTTTCAGTTGTTCTTCTTGCTCTGAGTCATGGTTGTCAAGCTCAACCATGGTTTCAAACTCAAACTGATCAGCATCAACTTCCACTTGTCCGTCTGGCAGAAAAAAGCCAACATTTTCTAGGTTGCGCGGTGGATGAACCATACGTTTCATTCTGAAAGAAGTGCTGTTTTCTTTGAGACAGTAGCAAATCATAACTCACGAGATTTCCACATCTCCTTCTGCGAGAGCATATGCAAAGCGATTTATAGATTCGGACAGCTCCCTTGGATCATAGTGAAGGCCCCGCAACCTTCTTTGGAGTCCTGAGTTTGAATGGGTTCAAAGCAAAAACAAAACTGCAAAGTATCAGGGTAAAGTTAAGACTTCTTTTCTGCAAAAAGTTGAAGCTCTACTTCTACAAATTCTCAAATGAAGGTACCTTCATTGAGACGTTTCCTAATATCTACCACTGATTTCATCACTTCTTCGCACTGCTGATTCCGCGTAAATGTGAACTCAACAAAATCATCAATAAGCAGCTGCTTCCAGTCATCGCAGAGCACCTAAGAAGTCACAGTGAGTTTTTCACTTCATCAGAAGGTATCCCAAGCGTAAAGATTTACACACGAAAAAGCAACTATGAACATCAGACCCGAGACGTAAAAAAACCTGAGTCAGTGAGTTGATTGGAACAGGTAACCAACCTTCTTCGCAAAAAGTGAAAGCGATAAAGCAGGCATAGGCAACACATTACATATGTATGGCTTTGTAGTCTCGAGCAGCAACCCATAGAAAGGGATCTGATGCTTCACTGAACGTCCCTCACTGTCAGCACGTGCGTCCAGCGACTCTTGAATGGATAATTCGAATTAATCAAAAAGGATAGTAACGGCACACCTGCATGGTATTGTGCAATGGAGGAGTTTGGATGTATCAGACTAAACGGTTTCATTCGTGTATGAACAAAGAGCTCTTGTCCATGCTGTAATTAGAGAAAGGTGAAAGAAAACAAAACTCAGAGCACAAAACGACAAGATGGTAAACTACTCAATACCTTATATATAAAGCTGAATGTCTGTTTGTATGTATGTCTGTATGTCTGTATATATTTCTGTATGTACGTATGTTCCGAATAGAAAATTCCATTTCTGAACCGATCGGGACCAAACTTAGCACACATACACTTCGGGCCCCGGGGGGTGTCACAGTCCACTTTTCGTCATTGGTTGATATCGATTTTATCGATTTTTTGCAAAATTTGAGCTACGGGGCTGGAGTTGGCACAGGGGGTTACACCCCCCCCCCCCCCCCCCGTGGGGGTGATCAGCATGCTCGATTACCCCTCTGCCAAATTCCAGCCCCCTAGCTCAAATTTTGCAAAAAATCGATAAAATCGACATCGATCGATAACGAAAAGTGGACTATGACACCCGCCGGGGCCCGAAGTGTATGTGTGCCAAGTTTGGTCCGGATCGGTCAAGAAATGGAATTTTCTATTCGGAACATACGGCGGAGCCGGGTAAGCCAGCTAGTAACCAATATAACGTGGAAAAATATGTTGGTATAAAAATCCCAAAAAAGTATGTTAAGAGAATGTCGGAAATGAATACTCATGCTCCTTTGTTCAAATTTTATTCATACACGCTAACCTGATACTTGTTCATTGGATCGGGAACGGTGTACTGTGGATATAGACCAGCGGCGATTACAACTCGGATGAGCTCAAATAGGATAAGTTCAAAAAATGCTGGAAAAGGCTTAAAAACTATCGCACACCTCTGCATCTTTCCTTCGAAAATTGTGAGTGCGACGAATTAACTCCACATCTCCTTGTTTATAACTCAAAAGAAACTCAACCGTCTTCACATCAGCTTTCATGGGATCTTGCTCGTTTTCTAGAACGATACAAATGCACAAGTTATAAAACTAGTGAACCAGGGGACCTTGTGTGTTGCATGCTGAGGAGCGCATCAAATTCACAGTATGCATTTCAGTCAATGCACTTGGACAGTGGAAGTGCTCCCAACTTTTGATTTGAAAAAATAACAGCAGTGCACAAATCAGTTTTCCTTATGTTTTCAGGACTAAATGATCCAATATCACCTCCGCTAAAAAATATAGTTGTAACGAACAAAAATTTTCGCCGAATGAACGAATATCGAATAATCAATTTTTAAAATTTTTCCGAACGAATGAGTATCGAATAATTGATTTTCGAAAATTTTTCGAACAAATGAATATCGAATATTTGATTTTCGAAAATTCTTCGAAAGAACGAATATTATTCGACTTTTGATTTTCATTTTATTCGAATTTGAATATTCGAATATTGGCACATTCCGAAATTCAAATGAACGAATACTTGAATAACCAAACTTGATCGAATATTCGACTAATTTCGAATAGATGTTCGAATATTATTCGAATATTTGAACGCAATATTCGAATATTCGAATATTCGAATATCTTTCAAAACTACTCAAATGAATGAATATTCGAATAACCTTTATTTAGAACTTGTCGAAAGAACGAATATTAGAATAAGTCATTTTTCGAAATCGTCGAATGAACGAATATTAGAATAAGTCATTTTTCGAAATCGTCGAATGAACAAATTATTCGAATATAGGCCTTTCTCATTTATTCGACTATTCGAATACTCAAATAAATGGACTTTCTCAAATATTCGACTATTCGAATAATCGAATAGTCGAATATTTCGAATAAATTATTCGAACACGATATTCGGTGCTAACTATACTAAAAAACTCTTCTCGTAGGTGTTCTGAGTTCAACCCGTCCCCACTTTTTCTCACTTCCTATTCTAATACCTCAGAGTTCCACGTCGGAACCTCGTCGCAACTGAAACAAAAAACCCCAGGCTTTTCTCCGGTCTTGGTCAAATTACCCACATGCCTCCTCCAGAACTTTTCCAAAGGAACGCTGAATTCGTTCCACAGTGCTCATTCTTTCTCCTGTCCAAACTGTGGTAGCCATTGTGCGCCAAAATGCATTCCGCAGATCCAATGTCCAGGATCAGAGTTCCTCTCAACAAAAATATCCCGCAGGTGCCCAATCACACAGCCCCATTCTTTCTCGCTCTCTCTATCTTACTATCTCTTTCCACTTTGGAGCCCATACTGGAGCCCATACCATTCTCCGTGGATTTTCTGGCCAAAGTGAACTTCACCCCTCCATAACTTTTTCAGAGGGAGCGCTGAGCCCCACGGTGCCATTCTCTCCCCACCCAAAGCTGCTGTAGGCTATGCGTGCAGAAGCACCAAATTCTATCCCCGATCTTTTTATGGCAGGGGTGTCCAAGGTTCCCTTCCCCAAGTGTTCGCCCTGTCACACGATCCTTACCCTTACTCGCTCTTTATTATATTACTTAAGAGTTCTTTTTTTGGGCTCAATTATTTCCTTGGTGTTCTTCGCCAAAAAACTCCAGTTCCCCTCTCCTTCAAGACTTTTCAAACGGGAGCGCTAAGTTTCAGATGCCTATTCCTTGTCTGTCCAAATGCTGTAGCCAGTGCATGCGGCAGGGGTGCCGAAAGTTCTTCTCCCCCCCCCCCCCCTCCCTTCAAGGATTCTGCCGATATAGCGCCCTGTCACGATCCCCATTTCGCACCCTACCTTAAATCCCATGTTGGTGCCCAAATTCTCTCCATCGGCTGAACCAAATACTTGAGTATTCCTCCAAAAATTTTCTAGAAGACAAAGGTCTAGGGCGATTTGCACAACCATAACGCTGCATGCTATTGCGTATGGACTCATGATGGAGGTTCCGTGCATAACTCTGTATGCAAGTGCCCGGGGTAGAGGACTATATGTCGCCGAAAAAGGGCGGCCCCGCGGTCATTTGCGACAAATACGCATCCTTGTACATGCGCGGACATGCGTTCCTGCAGAAAATCCGCGCGGGACTCTTCCAAATCCGGCGACATATAGTCCTCCACCCAAGTGCCCGCTAAACACGACATTGGGGACAGGTGCCTTGCTGCCTTCAACCAAAGAGCCCTTCGCTTCTAACCTTTCAGCTTCTATAGGCAGGGTTCATACTGAGCCGCACAAAGCGGCACAGTTCGAGCACAGTTCGAGCGCTGTGCGGGAACTGTGCCGCTTTGTGCGGCTCAGTATGAACCCTGCCATATGCTAAGCCGCCATTCTTTTCTCAAATGTCAAGGTTCCATCTTTTTGGACTTCTCCCAGGGGATTTGAGTACCAGAGCCTATTCATTCTCAACTCTTTCTACCCTTTTTGTTAGCGGAGGAAATACCTCTGTGTTTCAAGCTACCATAGTGCCCAAGGCTTTTTCAGAAATCCTGGGCAAGATAGACATTACGTAACAACGTATACATTACGTTTTCCTCTGGTATTCAGAGCTCATTTAGGGGCACTGCGTGCGATACACCTGCGGCGCCTTTCGCCTAAGCAAAGCAGGGAATGGGGTAGATTTGCTAAGTGCTTAACTTATTGAGAAAATCATCAGAGTGCTTAAAGACCGCCGTAAGGAAAGGTCGTCTCCTCGCTTCAGTCAAAGTGCCCATAGATCTAAGCAATTAGGCGCATTTCAGCGCCTCAAAACCTTTCTACGCAGGAACACTAACTGGGATGTATACGCCCTTGTACACCCCGACTATGTCAGAGCCCAACATACACCCCGCCTATGCCAGACCCCAACATACACCCCGACTATGCCAGAGCCCAACGTACACCCCGACTATGCCAGAGCCCAACTGTTTTTTTTTTTGAAAATCTACCTAACTGCTTTTTTTTAAATCTAAGAGTATAGTGACCGATTTCTCACTCTGGAGAACATCTAGCGCAAGCGCAGTTTCCCTTCTGCTCCCCTCTGCAGATAGGGTTCCCTCAACATGAAAGATTTGGAAGTTTCAAATTTGTTCCAGAAGAAATTCTCTCAACACAGTTTCGCCCCCTTTGCTTTTATCACAGTGACCACCTCTCCTTATGCTGACCTAATCAAATTTCTCCCAGCTCCCTAACTCGTTAGTTTTGAAAATGTCAAAGCTCAGAAATCCTATTCCCGAAGTTCTTCTAGTCGAGATGCCTACAGTTGCTCTGCAAGTGTTCTCTCTCCAATTTTCTCGATTTACTTTTGGAGAGGACTCACCACGGTAAACCTTTCTTCCCTGCATTTCAAGGCTACCCATCCTAAGAGCTTGTTCTTTCCAGCTTTTTCCATTCAAAGCTTCAAATTCGTTTCCTCTTAAAGGCAGTAGCTCCAAAATTGCTACCGCGGGCTCACGACTACATGGCCTTCTGGACCAACTGAGTCCGGTACTGCGCTTGAAAGAAGGGTCAAAAATGTGCTTTTTGGCGTTTCCGGCCTTGGAGATTGCTAAAGGGGCTGGGCGAGGGATTCCTCCCAAAAACAGCGAGCTACAGGATACCTCGACTGATCGGCTAATCAGCCAATCGCGATTCTTTGGCAATCACTCTCCCATCTCCTTTAGCAATCTAAGAACGGAAAACGCCCTGAAAAGCACTTTTTAGACTTTTCAAGACGTTTTCCAAGCCCTAGTCAGAGCGGGGAACGGTCAGGAGTCACGGTCGGCGCGAACTTTTCGCGAAGCGATGCCGCAAGCGATGTCAGCAAAACAGAAGCTAGCACTCCTGGCGCAGTATTACTTATGGCACGAGCCATATATCTGCCCCCACCCCCCACCCCCCTAGACAGGCGCAGTGCCACTTTAGCTCCGGGCAGTTTTATGGGGTACAAAATTTAGAAGCGACTTGCGCGGCGAAGCGGCGCGGCGCGCGGCGTGACTCCTGACATGGAGACAGTTAGAGCATCCAGAATGACATATGTAAAAGTTTCGACCCGCTTTAGGCGAAAATTGGATTGGCGGGCGTCCGCTTCGCAACGGTTCGCGTCGTTTCGCAGCTAACTATGTCATATCGCGCTGAGAACTCAAACCTGCGTCTCTTCATTCTCCTCAGTCTTTGCTTGGCAAAGTGTCAGCGCTATGCGCTCGCGAAGCCTCCAGCGATGCGCACGCGTTGCCCCACGCGGAATGTTTTGCCTAATCCGGGATGAAACCGACTATAGGAACGAAAAGCTCGCACTCACGGTTTTCCTAGCCACTGCCTTCAACATTTACCACCGCAACGCAACTCATTTACTGCATTTGGTGCGCTAGTGCAGAAGCCTTAGGATTTCCAAAGGCGGCGCTAGGGAACCTTTCGATTTTGAACGAGTAAACAAGGGAATGAACGATAGACGAAGGGCGTGGCACCCGTGAAGAACGCTAGGATAGTAACCAGCTTTTCCATTGAGAGCACTGGTGTGAGGCAGGATTCGTTGCAGCACGTTCGAAAGGAAAGGAAACAAATTGGGAAATGCTCATCAGTCCATATCCTTACAATTCGCTAAACGAAGGTCATGTTGTTCAGCATCATTTGACCATTTATCATCATGCTAGTAAATTTGGTGAAATGTTCTCCGATATGGTCATTAAATCAGCACAATTACTTGCTTCAGTCCTTATGGAATCTAAAACTACCTCGTTCTCCCATATGATTTGAATCCGATGCAAAAAATATGATATAAGATCGGTGCAGAAAAGTGAAACATACATTTAAGTAAACTAATAATAAGTAGCAAACAAGAGACATCGAAACCCATGGAAGAAAAGGATGAAATCTCGAAAAGAATTGTCAAAGTTCAAAGATGAACTGTCAAAGCACTCAAAAACTGATATCTCGCGCCTCAACTTCTTTAGATGTTCCGGCTACCGCTGCGGAACCGCCACGCGGTTTCCCGCTTTGTGCACATTTTTGAATTGCGCTTGTGATTCTTTATATATTAGACTAGTGAACCAGCAATCTAAAGGTGCTATTGGCAAGGCGTTCGCTTCGAGACCGCGCCGCAGTTTCCCGCTATGTGCACATTTTTGAATTGCGCTTACGATTCTTTATATATTAGATAGGAAATTCGCTACCTAGATCTTCTTCTTCTTTCTCGTTCAAGATAGAGTCAAAATGTTTATCAGCTCGTAGGACCTTACGCGTCTTTTCCATATTTCTAAACCGAGAGGTTTCTTGCTCGCATTGTATCCTATTCGAACTTCTCTTACCTAGCTTCGCGCTTCATGTCTAGTAACTTCTTTTTGTCACCCTGATCGATTCGACGCTGTCGAGAATCATCCTGTCCGAGTTCATGAGCATCAGGTCTGTCGATCAGTCCAGCATCTTCAAGAATTTGTCTAGAAACCCTTAGCATCAGCCACAGCATACGCTGAAAGTATGAACAACAAACCTATATTGAGCGCGTAACTTGCTGATTTCGTACATTCTATGTTCATCAATACCGTTTTCCAAAGCCCATCGTCGTACTTTGCCTCCCGAAGACTTTTGCAACACCCACTCCCTAAATTTTCGCACAGAGTTCTAATTTCGCACGGATTTCTAACGTTAAATCTGCGAGAAAACTATATGACACTGATATTGTTGAAACTAACCTGAACACTTCAATTAGAGTGAATGGATCTCCCATTGAGCTTGTTAGACGAGCCCTTCGCTCAACTACATCAAGTTCTCTGAAAAACAATGAATTATTAGAATCAAATATGAATGATTAATGAAAAACAGCATCTCCTTTGCTAATCTATGTTTTGTTCTCGAATGGTGCAGTACATTAGTTATAGAGAATACCCACGCAGAAAAAAGCAAATGCGACTTTTTGGACAACTAACCTTCCGCTTATTCCCACCTTTGTTGCTCAAAATACGTCGTTGACAAAAATGTAAGTACGAGAAAAAACGTTACCTGTAAGATCGGTTAGTGAAAGGGCTCTGCACGGATAGACCGGCAGCGACCGTTAACATCACTTCCACATGGTTGACCACGCATCCGTAAACAAGCATCTAAACAACAAGAGCTGAGCACTCAATAACGTTTGTAACCAACAGACCTTCGCTATAGGAACATCAACCGGAAGTTTGGCGATCGCATTGCCCAAAGCAGTAAGTTGATTGTCTCGGTCAGGATATAATACACCCTAGAAAGGCAAATGAATAAATGGCAAATGATTCATTTGTTTATGACTTGCTGAAAACAACCTGAAACTTTAGTAAATCCAAAGCATCGTTCAGCTTCTCTGATTCTGGTCGTTCAATGAAGGGGAATGTCCTTGGATCCACTGCAATGACTTACTAGAGTAAAGTGCATGACAGAGACAAATCCTAAAACACACATCCAAGGTTTAGACTGATCATGCGAAGCGCCATTTCTTGTAGAGAGACTCGGTTTATCTCCGAAGTAGTGAAATTATCCATTTTGCTGTATTGCTCCTCAGAATACAGTCTATAGCAAATGCCAGGTCCAGTCCTACCAGCTCTTCCTAAGTATCAAAGTATGTATATACTCTGTTCACGACGAGACCGTACAGTCTTCACACCTTTTCTTTGATCAGCAGAAGCCTTGGAAACCCAAAATTCACTCAGCTTCTGCGTCCCGCTTCCAGTTTCATGTTTGATCAGATTCACCTAGATAACAGAGTATAAAGACACTTCTGGAAGATGTGCTCAATAAAAAAACCTTTCCAGAGTCTATTACAAAGCGAATACCATCTATTGTGACAGAAGTTTCAGCAATATTAGTCGAGAGGATGCACTTCCTGACACCCGTGGGTGCCACATCAAAGACTTTGTCTTGCTCTTCGACTGAAAGGGTACTGGAAAGAGCACAATAAAATCAGCGAATGATTGCAGAAAAGTCTGATCCAACCTATGCAGCATGAGAATGATCCATGCTTTTGTCAATTCCGCATAAGTTTTCAATGCTTCAGCTACGGTGGTAATCTCAGCCACACCATTGAGAAAAATGAGGGCGTCACCACGTTCAGTCGAAGGCACTTGTTTATCGATGAGCTATAAAAATGCATTACACGCTCAACCCAACCACATGCGTTATCACAAGCAATCTGCATGATTTGCTGACTAATTGTACGATCCGACAAGTATCATAGCAAGTGTTATTCATTCTCTGACTAAGAGAGAGCACGCTTTGCGTACGTTTGATTGATAAGTTCATGGCATTCGAACGTTTTGGATGACTTAATAGCCAATTCGTAATAGGTGTTCGAGTTCGTTAAACAATACAAACATGTCTTTCACGAACATATTATAGTAATCAATCAGAACGCGTTCTAATGCATTCACGAACTTGTTAATCCAAGGTACGCGCTCGCGTCTCTTAGTCAGAGAATGAATGATACAAACTTTAACTTCGAATCCAAAACTAATCGTTAGTGGGTGGCGTCCAATCTCATGAGATGGATTGTAACTAGCGCACACGCCGCGGATGGGACCAATCACTCACTTTCAATTAAAATGCCAGATCTTACAGAAAAGTAGGCTTATCGATAAATACAACAATACCCACACTCGCTTTCATTTGAAAGTCCGAGATTGGCACGTACCTCAAGAATCCGAACATACGGCTCTGGGTCAATTTTGTGGCTTTTCTTCTCACTTTCCGCAATAAACTGTTTTATGGGATGATATCTTAGCTGGATGGGAAACAAGCGTCCAGGCACCTAAACCAAATATCAATCATCGTACAGAACTGGGTTGCATACGCAGGGTGGAAATATACGCGCTAGAATTGAGCGTGCCTTCGTTTTTCTTCAAACAAATCAGATAATGTATATTTACAAAGAAATACAGTTTGTCCTATTCGGACCAGGCTAAACATGACATGATGCATTGCTATGACTGTATCACGTCTACAGTTTGCGACAGAAAGTTGTACCATTCTGTATCCTAATCAATCTCTATTCTTCGGCAAACGCAAAAGTCGAGCTGAACCCGGTTGGAAAAGACTGTAGCTAAAAATTCCTAACGAAACAGCATACCCCATAAAGAAGTGAAGCAAGCAACCCAAATTGAAGAGGCAAAGTAATGCACCAACTGTCGTCACGAAGATCTTCCAGAATTATCTTATTCAATGCCTCGACGGAAATTTGGAAAAAAATGATTTCTCAGAACTTTCGTGAGATGACTGAGTACAACAAGCTTGAGAACAGCTCTACTACCATCGATGCTTGACTGAAAAAAAAGCACTCTGCGTTGGACTTCGGGCTTAAATCATATACAGCGTTGAGATAAGTGATGATAAGAATGAAAAAAGAAAGGAAAAACCATTTAATGACTAATTCAGGAGCTGAATTGGGATGACCTGGACCCCACAAGCACGTATAAAGTATGTGACCAACCTGTACGACAGGAGCTCCCTCAAAGTATCCTTTAAACAAATCCAGATTTATAGTAGCAGACATTAGAATCAGCTTCATATCATCTCTCTTAGCGATCATGTCGCGCAAAAGTCCAATGAGTAAGTCGCTACTGAGATGACGCTCGTGGATTTCATCAAGAATGATAACCTGCAACCAAATTGGTACGGCTTGGAAATGTTTTGCGAGTTAGGGCAACAGGAAAATCCCACGTTATATTGCTGCAAAAGAGAGTCGTTCTCCATTTGGCGAAGCAGCAAACCTTCAGTGAGGAACAACATTTTAGTACGCTTTGACTTCGTTGTCTCAAACCTATAACAATATTCTCAGCAAAATAAGACAGCAATCTTGTATGATACGAAACGAAATATGAGACATAGACGCATACTATTAATACACCAATCATGCAGAAGAAGCATCATGGGTACTTTTTGTTTCATCTCGTCAAGTGAGACTCACCTTATTTGATAAGCCACTTCGCTTCCGTAGGAGTTGAGTGTCTCGTAAGCTACACGACGAGCAAGAGCTGTACAGGCTATACGACGCGGCTGAGTGCATGCTATACCTGTGTAACCGCTCTGTAGGAGATACTGAGGAACCTAAAACGAGATCGTTATGAAATCAAAAAGCCATGATATAATTCATTTTTGATTCCTTGCCTCGGAATAAACAAACTGAATTATATGAACGAAACATGACTTACCTGAGTACTTTTACCGCATCCTGTATCTCCAGCGATGATGAGTACTTGGTTCTAAAGATATTTTGATGGAGTACAGATAAAAAGGACATGAAAGTGTCTTACATCTTTCAGAAGATCTATGATTTCCTGTTTCCTCTCAGCAATAGGAAGTTCCCTTTGAGATTTGCGTAATTCCTTTACTTTCTTGAACTTCACGTCATTGAAAAAGTCCAAGGATAACTGAACGACATACTCGAAATGTCGTATCAACCATGGAGGTATCTAAAGGATGTAGTGCGGTAAGATATATGAGTGATCTTCACGACTTACATGCTGTAAGTGACTCGGAGGTTCTTGAAAATCTCTTTGTGCAAAAACAAAGTATCGCTTGCTGATGTCTTGTGGTATACCCCAATCATCTGTTTTCAAACGTTTCAAATCAAAGTGGTCCTTGCTCTCTCCTCCTCTCCTAGATTTGCAGAATACGTTCGAGAGGAAGCTCGATATTCTACTTAGTTCTGTACCGAAAAACATGAATTATTTGCAGAAGCGACTGCAAGGACATTTCCTTCAAACATTACTCGGAACGGTACCACAACAATGGAGTCAAGCTGATTAAAACAGAAGCAGTATATACCCTAATTTCACGCATATAAGACGCACTTTTTTCGGGTTTTCAAGCGTGCCGCTCAGCCGACTTGTTGCTTCGGAAAACGACACTTAGGCCACGCAATACTCTTAGGCAATATGCAGCAGTATGTAGTTTTTGGGTCGCGAAGTTCGGCATGTTTGTGCTGTTCGATTTTAGAAAAAAATCACCCGCGTCCTTATGCGTGAAATCAGGGTACTTTTACTTTTTAGTTCCAGTTATATTGTTAAATGCATATGATACGAATTGGGTCGTATAGCAATGAAGATTGTTATGACTTACCGCAGAAACCTATTGAAGTAATTGCTTATGAACTTCCGTTGTGTATCTATACGTTCCTGATCAATATTTGCATCTAAAAACATCAAACGTATTCCATATAACAAGCAAGCTCATCAAACCCACCTTTATTTGAGTTGCGACTGCTATGAGCTTCACCTCCTGACGCCCCAAGATAATGTCGAAATAATACACTCTTATAGTTGTCATATTCTTCGTTGGTTAAGGAATACATTCATTTCATGTTCAGAAATATTTCGCGCTAAACATGTATTTAGTGTAGAAGTGCGTGAGTATGGGTATTATTATCGATGGAGCACGTTTGCAATGGGATGAGACGATGGCTTAAGGCTTGAGATAACCTGACGATGTGTCGCTATAGCTGACGATAGACGCTGCCAGCAGAACGCCTTTTATGCGTATCGATTGACGCCAGGCGACGCTGCTGCTTCTAGCTGCTGCAGCCAACGTGAAACAGACCCGCTGTAGCTGGCGATGCTGCGCTGCTCTTCGCTGCTGCTTGCTGCTATGCGATATGAAGCTCACTTTGGTGAGCTTCTCTCAGCTGCTTCACGCTGCTAACGCTGATTGCTCGGATTTGTCCCTTTTCAACATATTTTTGAACTTCTGGAGGATTTGTAGAGCACTTATTGCGATACTGAACTATGACAAATTTGCAAGACCAAAACGCAATGCGTCGGTATGAAAATCATTGAGGAATTGACAAAGTCGACGAAGAGTTGGATCTCAACAACTGCCCAGAACTTTTGCGAAGCAAAAATAAAATCAAATTGGAGTAACGATGAAAAACTAGAGGAATTTAACGATTTAGGAGATATTACCAGTACACCTCAATACATTAAAGGCAGCTATAACCTAGAATGTTCGGTTTTTGCCTTAAACCACACCAAGACTCTACAGCACTCTCGCTTGGATATCCGTCAAATGGTTATTCAGTATATGGTACATTTGATTTGCGACTTTATGCTTCATAAAAAGAAATTGTTGATGAAAACAGAATGGCTCTCATGTAATCATATCTTTCAATTTTGGTAGTTTCTCGAGACTTACTTTCCAAATGGCCTAAGCTAAGCTTAGTAATGGGTAAAGCTACTTCGTTCTTGCACCGAAAACGTACCCAGCGCAGCAGCCACGAGCAGCTGAAGGCAGCGCAGACATCTGCGATTCGCCAACACCCGCTATACCTCTATCCAGGGCCAAGCAAGCGGTGTGGCACACGATCGCTGGTTACGACCCCTCCCCCCTGATTGCTGTCTTAATAAGACCCCCCCCCCCTGAACTATATACCTAAGATAGCATTACCAGAGTTGAGAAAAGAGGTCAGGCACAAGTCTTTCGAAACCCCTCCCCCTCCCATGTAAGCCCTCAAACGACTCCTTCTTCCTCCTCTTAACCTCTGAACCTCAAAGTGCGACATTCTGCAGGACACCATCTTTTTCTAGAGAGTTTTCAGATTTCTGAGAGCTGTACACCCGATTTTCTGAGACTGCACTTTACAAACACGTAATTTGACGGCTGATTTTGATGTGAATGGGCATATTGAAAGGGCCATAATTTTCTTATGGGTGGGGCGTTCCGCTCCAAATTTCCAATGTAGCAAGAAGAAGCTATGTGCTCAGTACTCATACCAGCAATGGAGCGCTTTCTGGATTTTGAAGGCAAGTTAAGGGGGTGCGGCACACCCCCTTAAAAGCTGCGGCAGCCGCAGCTTTTAAGGGGGTGTGCCGCACCCCATTAACTATATCAAAAAAACATTTTTAGCGAACAATATTTATATGAATCGATAGCCTAAACCTTGTAGATTCCATAGGACTGTTTGGAGCCTGATATGTCTTCTTAGCTCTAAGTAATATTTGGTGAAAGCACAGCGATCAAAAGCGAAAAATGGGAAAAACGAGATTTTGGTTAGCTTCTAATTCCACAGTTTGCAGGTCTTCTAAAGCGGGATTCCTGAGGTGGACAAAGAAGGAGTAGTGCTTTGTCTTGAGTGCAAAAACGGATAGCTAATTCACCTTTGAAACAAAGTTAACTATGTTGGAATTTGACCATTTCATTTAGGTAGCCTAGTATCTTGAATCTTCAGATTTCGCTCATACTTTGTCTACAGCGGTTAAATGACATGCTAATTATGAATATGATACAAATATCATGTTATCACTATTATCAGATTACCCAACTACGACCCCCTCCCCTTTTGACTCCTCAGTACGACCCCCCAGGTGTGGCGTGCCGCACCCCACGCTTGACCCTGCCTCTATCCTCAGGTATATCTCAAGCCTAAGTAACATTGCTACAGGCAAACCATCATTCGAGTAAGCGTCGCCCAGCGGAAGCAGCTGGTTACTCAAACTACTAACAACTACAGTAATCTGATAAAAGGTTTATCGTCTTTCAAACAGGAAACTGTATAGGAGTTGTGAGAGGAGTGGATCGTGGACTTGAGAGGATGAGTGTGTGGTTGATATCGGGGCAACCGCCCCAGGAAAGAGAGTGAGTGTCGTTGAACTCCTCGCGTGCTCTATGTGACTGGTTGTATACCTTGGCGTTATTATAGCACATCATCTCACGCTGACCTTAGCTACTGTACACAGCCAAACCAAAAAAGGCGAACAGGATGCCTCGTATTTTTCTTCTCCTCTTGCTTATCACATCATAAAGTTGTCCTCAACTAACATGGTGTGCTTTACTCTCTAGAATGTTTGCATGAGAATTAATGGAGTTTCGTTGATCGTATGCATGCTTTACATTAGGGCGTTAAGATGACGTAGAAGATCATATAGCATATCTGCGAGGTATGAGATGAGGATGACTTCGAAGATATTGTGTCGTAAGTGTGGCATGTTTATTGTTTATTGTTTATTGTATTGCACTCCAGGTCCACTCCAATATAATGTAGTCAAAAACAACGTGACAGTAAATTCAAACAATAGTCAGCCAATCTAAACAAAGTCAGTGTCTTCTTCAGAACAAAAGCTGAATGAATTAGAAGTAGAAGACACTACATCACAGTCTGCTGGCATATCTTACTATCTTCCAGAATTGGATCCCCCTTTTGAAGGCCAGCGAGCCTACGCGCGGAGGCTAGCTGACTAGTGTCAAACTCTGAAAGGACAGCAAAACATACGCATGACTAAACTGATAAGAACTGTCAACAATGCATATAGGGTTAGAGCTGAAGATTCTAATCAAAAGAATGAAACACGAAGACACAAGAAATGAAACACTGTTGATGAATGATAATAAACAAAACGTCAGGACATCATGAAGTGAAACTTCAATGATGACAACCACATCCCAACACACTGTTCATATTAAGCTGTTGTAATGCCAACGGACCGAGAATGTGAAAGCCGGATCTGGAAGGAATTGCTAGAAATCAGTCTCTTGAATTGATAAAATACTGCAAATCTACTTTCCTCAGTTTCATCTTGAAACTTGAAGTATTGATAGAGCGAAGAACATCCAATGGCAGACGTTGCAACCATCTTGCTCCACGAAAGAACAGGCTGTTGAAGGCTAACAAAAACTTTCTACGGCCTACCTATTCTAGGGTAATGGAGATTGAAAGAGAATGAGCGTTGACTAGCCGGCATAAATACCCAGTATTTGCTGGCTGAGAGGCTTACTTCTTTGCGCAGTACACGGAATCAAAAGATAAGATCAGGGCCGGTAGTAATCTGGCCGAAACTCCGAGTTTAAAGCTGCGCGTTAACTCAGAGTTAACTCTGATTTCGTTTTGAAACTCAGAGTTAATTCCGAGTTTCGTTTTTGAAACTCGGAGTTTCGTGCTGCTACTTGCGGAGCCGCTATAATTGTTGAGGAGCTACTACACGCTTCATCGCAAAACACTCCGACTAGGTCGGGAGTTGAACTTCCGTTGCTCTGCGCGAAGTGCCTACTACTAGACCACTAAGCTAAAGAACCACTATTGCACAATTGCCGCAACTGCTTAGTGAATCCACGTAATCAAGATCTCACATGTCAAGACACGTGGAGAGGCGCTAGGCTTGCCTGTGAGGTGTCTAGCAGTGGCGGTCTCAGAGCGGTTCCGAGGGGGGGGGGAGGGGCGGCAAAAATTTTTTTTTCAAATAAAGGTGCGTGGCGTGAGCCACGCACTCTGAAACTTTTTTTGAAGTGCATCTCAAAATTCTTGCGGGTCTAAAGCCCCCGAAAATTTTTTTACAAGGCTAATTTGAATTTTTAAAAAATTCTAAAAATTATTTTGATTGTTTACAAAAATAAACAAGTTATTTGCACATTTTTATAACCCATGTAGGTAAGTTTCACCCCCGCCCCCTTCAATCCGCTACTGGTGCCTAGCCATAATATATCCTAAAGATTCTCAAAAAAGTAGCAGGATAAAACATGGACATAGACAGTAACCTAACAATCCGTCCCCCTCCCCTCTCACCATATTTTGATATGCTATTATACTTGATAAAATTCGAAATTCTGTTGATTTTCAAAATTTTTCGAATGAACTAGATCTATAATTTGTAATCTTGAAATAGACCATTATTTTAGGAAAATAGACTTCAAGTAGTAAACAAAGTCTACAGGTCATTCGTAAGTCGACTGTTAGAATTTCAAAAGACCTCTGAATAATGTAGCAAATTTCGAAAAATTTTTCTCGAGGTTTCTGTTGACACAATAAAAAAGAAATAATTTGAAAAACACTTCCTGGTATCATTACTTTTTTGCTAAGAAAGTTCAACTCGACCTGAGATTTTTGTCGCTCTTCCGTATATGCCCACCGTAATAATCTTCATTGAAAACGGACAGCATGATCATAATTGCACTGCCAAATGAACTCAGTGGCGGATTTTTAAGCAGTTCAGTAAGTTTATTCCACCACATCTACTGCAGCCCCATCGCATAGTCTTGCAGTAAAAAGAAATAGTAAGTATCTAACAATGGCGGCGAAGGGGAGGCTCCCCCTTTCCCCGGGATATGTCGCGAAATTTTTGAAATTTACTTACTCTGTTATAAAAAATGTGCAAATGACTTGTTCGTTCTTGTAAATAATAAAATTGTCTTTTAAAATTTCTTAAGATTCAAAATAGCCTTGTAAAAAAACTGACAAGCCCCCTTTTCGCATAATTTGGGGCCACGGGCCAGCAAAAAATGTTAAGAAGCACCCCGAAAAATTGTCGCCATGCACCTTCACTTGAAAATTTTTTTGTCCCCCTTCTCCCCTCCTCTCGGACGGAAATCCTGCGACCGTCACTGGTAACTAAGTATTTAGCTAAACTTCCTCTAAAAAAGTTTTAAGTGAGATTTTTTATCCATCTACCGTAAATCCATCG